ATCCAAGCCGGGCTCCTCGGTCCTCCACCATCCTCCCGAGTCTGCTCAAATTCACGTCCATTGAGTCTCTGATGCCATCTAACCTTCTTATCCTCTGCCGCCCTCTTCTTTTGCCTTCATTTCCCAGCATCAGGGTCTTTTCCAGTGAGTCGTATCTTTCCATCAGGTGGCCAGAGCATTGGAGCTTCAGCTTCAGCATCAGTCCTTCCAATGAATGTTCAGGACTGAGTTCCTTAAGGATGGACGGGTTGGATCTCCTTGCAGTCCAAGGCTCTCAAGAGTCTCCTCCAGCACCACAGTTTGAAAGCACTAGTTCTTTGGTGCTCAGCCTTCTTCATTTTCCATCTCTCATATCTGTACATGACTTTCCATCCGTACATGGAAAAACCATAGCTTTAACTATATGGACCTTTGTCAGCAAAGCAGTGTCTCTGCTTTTTCATATGTTGTCTAGGTTTGTCATAGCTTTCCTTCCAGGGAACAAGTGTCTTTTAATTTCAAGACTGTAGTCACTGTCTGCAGTGATTTTGAAGTCCAAGAAAATATGTCACTGACTACTTCTACTTTTCCCCCTTCTATTTGCCATAAAGTGATAGGACCAGATGCCATGATATTAGTTTTTTTTTAAATGTTGAGTTTCAAGTCATCTTTTTCACTCTCCTTTTTAACTTTCATTAAGAGGCTCTGTAGTTCCTCTTCACTTTCTGCCATTAGAGTGGTATCATTTGGATATCTGAGGTTGTTGATATTTCTCGCAGCAGTCTTGATTCCTGCTTTTGGTTCATCCAGCCTGGCATTTTGCATGATGAACTCTGGATATAAGTTAAATAAGCAAGGTGACAATATATAGCCTTGTCATACTCCTTTCCCAATTTTGAACCAATTCATTTTCTATATTCAGCTCTAAATGTTGCTTCTTGACCTGCATACAGGTTTCTCATGAGATAGGTCAGGTGGTCTGGTATTCCCATCTCTTTTTTTTTTTTCCCCCATCTCTTTAAGAATTTTGCATAGTTTGTTGTGATCCACACAGTCAAAGATTTTAGCATAGTCAATGAAACAGAAGTAGATGTTTTTCTGAAAGTCCCTCATTTTCTCCATGATCCAGTGAATGTGGCAATTTGATCTCTGGCAGCTCTGCCTCTTAGAAATCCAGCTTGTACACATGAAAGTTCTAGGTTCAACTACTGCTGAAGCCTAACTTGAAGGATTTTGAGCATTACCTTGCTAGCATGTGAAATGAATGCAGTCGTATGGAAGTTTGATCATTCTTTGTCATTGTCCTTCTTTGAGGTTGGAATAAAAACTGACCTTTTTCAGTCCTGTAGCCACTGCTGAGTGTTCCAAATTTGCTGACATGTTGAGTGCAGCATTTCAACAGCATCATCTATTAGGATTTGAAATAGCTCAGCAGGCATTCCATCACTTCCACTTTGTTTGTAGTAATACTTCCTAAGACCCTTGGACTTCACGCTCCAGAATGTCTGGTGCTAAGTGAGTGTCCACACTAACATGGTTATCTGGGTCATTAAGACCTTTTTTGTATAGTTTTTCTGTGTATTCTTGCCACCTTTTCATAATCTCTTCTGCTAGGTTCTTAGCATTTCTGTCTTTTATCGTGCCCATCCTTGTATGAAATGTTCCTTTGAGATCTCCAGTTTTCTTGAAGATATCTCTAGTTCTCCCCATTCTGTTGTTTTCTTCTATTTCTTTGCATTGTTTACTTAAGAAGGCCTTCTTATCTCTCCTTGCAGTTCTCTGAACTCTGCATTCAGTGGGTATATCTTTCCCTTTCTCCCTTACTGTTTGCTTCTCTTTTCCCCTCAGCTAGTTGTTAAGCCTCTGCAGACAACCACTTGGCCTTCTTGCATTTCTTTTTCTTTGGGATGGTTTTGGTCACTGCCTCTTGGACAGTGTTACTAACCTCTGTGCATAGTTCTTCAGACACTCTGTCTGCCACATCTAATCCCTTGAATCTGTTTGTCAGCTCCACTGTATAATCATAAGGGATTTGATTTAGGTCATAACTTGAACGGCCTAGTGGGTTTCCCTGCTGTCTTCAGTTTAGGCCTGAGATCTACAATAAGGGTCTCCTGATCTGAGTTGCCCTAAATTTCTGGTGTGACAGTTTCAGCATCTCTGCTCTGTCTCACTCTGGTTCTAATTCTTGTCCTGTTTCTTCAGACTGTCTCTTTTTTTGCTTTTTGGTATGCCTTGCAATTTTTTTTTTTTTTTAATTTAAAGCCAGACATTATATTCTGGATGAGAGGTGGGCCTTTCGAGGTACAGTTATGAAGTATAGAAGGAGGGGAAGCATCCTTTAAAGCTGTGTTTAGATCTCCATCTTTTTGAACCTTTGCATCTGGGTTGTGACCTTCACATGTGCTTTTCAGACCTCCACCTCTCCTCTTTAGGAGGGCTAGGATGGCCTGAGTGGGTGGGGAAATAGATGGGCTATTTCCCTTCCTCCAAGGCGGTTAGTCTCTGATAAAGCCTGGGTAGTTCAATTCAGTTCAGTTGTGTCTGACTCTTTGTGACACCATGAACTACAGCACGCCAGGCTTCCCTGTCTATCACCAACTCCCGGAGCTTACTCAAACTCATGTCCATTGAGTCAATGATGCCATCCAACCATCTCATCCTGTGTTGTCCTCTTCTCCTCCCACCTTCAGTCCTTCCCAGCTTCAGGGTCTTTTCCAGTGAGTCAGTTCTTCATGTCAGGTGGCCAAAGTATTGGAGTTTCAGCTTCAGTATCAGTCCTTCCAATGAATATTGAGGACAGATTTCCTTTAGGATTCACTGGTTGGATCTCCTTGCAGTCCAAGGGACTCTCAAGAGTCTTCTCCAACACCACAGTTCAAAAGCATCAATTCTTTGGCGCTCAGCTTTCTTTAGAGTCCAACTCTCACATCCATACGTGACTACTGGAAAAAATTATAGCTTTGACTAGATGGACATTTGTTGACAAAGTAATATCTCTGCTTTTTAATATGCTGCCTAGGTTGAGTCATAGCTTTTCTTCCAAGGAACAAACATCTTTTAATTTCAGGGCTACAGTCACCATCTGCAGTGATTTTGGAGCCCCCAAAAATAAAGTCTCTCACTGTTTCAATTGTTACCTCATCTATTTGCCATGAAGTGATGGGACTGGATGCCATGATCTTAGTTTTATGAATGTTGACCTTTAAGCCAACGTTTTCGCTCTCCTCTTTCACTTTCATCAAGAGGCTCTTTAGTTCTTCTTCACTTCTGCCATAAGGGTGGCGTCATCTGCATATCTAAGGTTATTGATATTTCTCCCGGCAATCTTGATTCTAGCTTGTGCTTCATCCAGCCCGGCATTTTGCATGATGTACTCTGCGTTTAAGTTAGATAAGCAGGGTGACAATATACAACCTTGGTGTACTCCATTCCGGATTTGGAATGAGTCTGTTCAGTCCGGGTAGTTTAGGCTCTGGTTAGTTTCTCGTGAGGGCAGACCTTGCTGAGAACAGAATGCACGGGCATATTTCAGGAAGGTTAATTTTCCGCTCCCCCTACTAAGCCCCAAGGGGATTTTTATATGCTCTTCACTGTGAGAAGCTGTGGAGTTCTAGTAGGTGAGAGCCACAAAGTGTTGGGGGTCCTCTTGGAATTGTTAATTTACTTTCCTGCACTAGCTTCCAGTAGCTGGTCAACGTACAGTTCAGATTTTCCTCTGGTGCTAGGTTCTACGGAGATTTCTGCTCACATCAGTTGTGATTATCTGTTTCTCCAATTGTAGGTGAGAAGGTTTGCCCTGTGGCCTCATATTTTATGTCAGATATAAGAAGAGTTGTTATTTTTCAGTTGGGTTAGCTGTTTACTTACTGTTATGATGGAGTGGTGAATTCCAGCCTCCTTACATGCTGGGATAGAAACTGGAAGTTAAATTGAGCTTTGAAATGTAAAATTGGTAAATATGATAGCATTATTTCTTCTTGGAGATTCTAATTGCTTTTCTTTTTCCTATTTATATTGTCTGTCTCTGTTGACTCCTTAAGTTGTTCAGGATTCTCAGTTGAGTATTCTATATCTTTTAAAATTTATTGAGACTTGTATTATGACTCAGTATATGGTCTCACTTGGAAAAGGCTGTTGGGTGTACTTGAGAGGAATGAATATTGTGCTGTTGTTGGGGAAAGTGTTACATAAATATTAGTTATGTCATGTGTTTATGATTTTTTTTGTCTACAGGTCTATCAGCTACTAAAGGAGAGGCATTGATATCTCCAACTATATAATTGTTTTATTTATGTCTCATTTCCATTCTGTTAGTTTTGCTTCATGTATTTTGAAGCTGTCACTTAGGTACACGTAAGTTTAGAAGTTTTATGTCCTCTTGATGAATTGATATGTGTCATTGTTAAATGACTCCTTCTTTGATCTGAAGTCTACCTTGTCTCTTCTGGGCTATCATCTGAAATATATGTAGTGGCCTTTCCAGCAGTTGCTTGGCTTCCTCGTAACACGATGGCTGGGTTACAGAAGTGAGCATTTAAGAGCGCAGATCGTAAGCATATGACTTTTTTGTGCTCCAGCTTTGGAAGTCACATAACATCACATCTGTGTTTCTAAGCCCACCCAGGCTTATGGGAAAGGAGTATGAGCCCACCTCTCCGTGGGAGAAGTGTGAAAGTCACATTGTGAGAATAGCATGTGTGTTGGGAATCATGTTCTGGCCTCCTTTGCAAAATAGAGTCTGCCAATTTGGGAAAATAAATAATGGTTAAATTCTTAGTAAGCCAGTAAGGAATTTTTTTCAACTTTTTTTCTTTTTCTTTTTCCCAATAAGGATTGACACAAGATTTTTAAATTTAATCCCCTCAAGTAAAGTTTTGTACAAAATCTTATGCCATAATAATTTTATGTATTAAGGTTTTATTATGATAACACTTTTTTAGTAAGATCCTTTTGGTCCTGTTTTCTATTTATTTATAACATTTCCTAAGATAATTTTTATTATTATTTTTGTTTTCCAGATAAGACTGTAAAATGTAATGTGGATTCATTGAAAGGTTCACCTGAAAAAGAATCTGAAAAGAAACAGCAGTACATCTCCTTGAAAGACGTAAATAAGGTGCTGTTTTTAAATGTTCATTAAAGTTTATATAGTGTTCATTTTAGAATATTCTCCTTTAAAATCTACCAGGAGCCAAAACTGTGGCTATGATAGTTTATTCATGAAAAAAAAAAAAGTTTACAAGTTTACTCTGATTCAGATGAACAGGATAATCCCTGTTCTTCCCTTTTCAAGTCCTTGTTCTTGGCCTGCTGACCACTTGACAAAATTGGATGCATATTCTCACTTTAACAAGGGTATAAATATCTGGAATTATGGGACACTTTTATAGTTAAGGTCAAGTTTTACCTGTCCCTCCAGTTCCTTTGACAAGACAGGTGAAAGTAATTCCAGGACATTTTAAATACTGACTGTCTGAAGTCTGGCTACCTGCTCTTTGGACCCTTCAGTCTAGTGTTCATAGTGGTGGCATTATCACCGACCTCTCCGGTTCTTGGTCTCCTCATAACACATTGCCTGGACCTTATCTAAGATCGTTATCTATGAGAACAACTCCCAAGGAATTTTGATGCCTCAAGAACGCATATGTTGCTAGCGTAAATAGTCATCCTGGAAAAAAATTATTTTTTTTTTACAGTGTGTTGAATCTGCAGTGTGCTGGCCAACAAAGAGAGGCATAACCATATATGCCAATCCAGACACATCAGCTGCAAGGTATGATCTGAAAATCTAGTGTAACTGACTAGAGATTTAAGTATAATATTGTTTTATACAGTGTTCAGTAAGATTGATGATGGGAGAATATTCATTTTCAAAAAAAGAGTGACCCTGGAAATTTTGATTAAGCATGTATTTAAAATAAATACGTCTGACAGCTGGCTAGCAGCACAGTTTTCCAAAAAGGGGTAGTGATTCTGGAGTCTCCTTGTCGACTTGTCAGCCAGAACTGTGTCTGTGAGGCAGATGTCTTGATGTGAAGGGCGGGTATATGTGGGCCGGTGGCAGTTCAGGTTGGTGGAAGGTAAAGAATGTTTTCTTATATTCTTGAAGATGAGCTTCCAAGTCTTTGTAACCCTGTCCTCAGCAAAATCCATGTCAGTGATGTGAATGGGAAAATGTGATATCATGCACTTCATGTATAGTAAAAGATGTTAAAATAGGAAGCTTCCATTTGTCCCCTCCTGGACTTTATGCTAGCGTTGTCATACATTGTATGTATACATTTGTTATAAATGCTGGAATCTGTTGTTGTTCGTATTTAAACAGTTAAGTTTTTCTTTGAGGGATTTAAATAAGAAGAGAAATTATCATGTATTTACCTATGTGGTTATCATCCATGCTTTTCACTTTTTGTGTAGATCCGGATTTCGCTCTGGCACCATCTTCCTTTTACTTGAGGGACTTCCTTTACTATTTCTTGTATATTTCTTCCTTTACTCTTTCTTGGGTCTGCTGGTGATGAACTCTTTCAGCTTTTATATGTCTGAAAAAACTTTGCTAGATCGAATTCCAGCTTTAAATTTCTTTTTCCCTGTATTTTAGCGGCGTTGCTTTACCATCTGCCCACTCATATTGTTTACAGTGCAAAATCTACCATCATATTTTTTCTTTGTTTCTCTGTTTGCAGCATGTCTTTTTCCTCTGTTTTTAGGGTTTTCTCTTCATTGCTGGTTTGGACAGTTTAATTATCGTATGTCTTGATGAAGTTTCTCTTATATTTCTTATGCTTGAGATTCATTAGGGCTCTGCATTTGTAGGTTTCTGTCTTTTCATTGGGGCTTCCCTGGAGGCTCAATGGTAAAGAATCCGCCTGCAATGCAGGAGACCCAGGTTCAATCCCTGGGATGGGAAAGTCCCCTGGAGGAGGGTATGGCAACTCACTTTAGTACTCTTGCCTAGAGAATCCCGTGGACAGGGGAGCCTGGCAGGCTACAGTCCTTAGGGTCACACGCAGTCAGCTAAGCAGCAGCAGCAGTCTTTTCATCAGATTTGATAAGCATTCAGCTGTGTTAGTCTACAAATATTTTTTCTGCACCTGTCATTTTCTTCCCTTTTGAGACTCTTATAAGACAAATGTCTCTGAGGCTCTGTTCATTTTTTCAATTTTTTCTTGCTGTTCTTCATATTAATAATTCTACTGCTCTGTGTTTAATTTGTCACTTCTATTATCTCCATTTTGCTAAGCCCATCCACTGAGTTTTTTATCTGATGTATTATATTTTTTTGTTGTAAAATTTTCATTTGATTTTTTTATAGTTTATATTTTTGCTGAGAAGAAAATAAAATTCTGATTGTGTCATTTAGGAGTGCTCATCTTTCCTTTTCTTATGGAGCGTGGTTATAATAGTTCCTGTAGGGTGTTTTATAATTCACACATCTGAGCTCTGTTGGGGTTGGCACTTGTTGGTTATTTTTTCCCTCTGCAGTTGATCTGATTTTCCTTATTCATTGTATGTTGAGTAATTTCGGATTGTACTCTAGATACTTTGAATATTATGGCATGAGACTGGTGTAGAAGCTTCTGGAGAATGTTGATTTTGTTGTTTTAGCGGGAGGTCATCACTCCCTTAAGGTTCAGTCCTCAGACTCTGTCTCGCTTGCCGTGGGTGGTGATTGTGACACTGTTTCCAACTCTTTGGTCCACTGCTTTGGGCCTGTTCCGGACACACTCAGCTTGGGATCAGAGTGGGACTTGGGGTGGGTATGGGGTTCCCCCCACCCCCAGCTCTCTATCTCTTTCCTCCCCCAGGACTTTTCCTCACATTCACCATTTTCTAGATGTTCTCGCTCCCTGTTCCTCTGACCAGATAGATGGCTTTTTGTTGTTGTTGTGGAGAAGCTACCATGCAGTTCGTGTGACTAGGGCTGCTTATGGAATAAAATAGCAATAGAAATAGAAGAAGAAGAAAAGATGGAAATTTTTCCTCATCTAGTCTCTATACCACTGGGTCCCCATTTCCTGGTTCATTAGAGGGAGGGAGAAGTTTTCTTGTGGGGTTTTAAGTGACCGTATGTGTGATTAGCACCACTGCATGCATCTCCATGATCAGAGCTGGCCTTGGGGTTAGAACAGGAGGGGAGAGGGCCAGGATTCCTCACACCCTCTGGTCTCAGGCCCCTCTTCTCTGTTCTCTGGCTTGAAATATGTTCAGCCGTCCTCATCTGATGCTCCTGCACATGCTCTGGTGCAGATTCCTTGGTTGTGGAGGGTCCACTGTGCTACACTATCTTATATAAGGGACTGGAGCATCCTTGGATTTCGGTATCCCTGGGGCTCCTGGAATCAGTACCCTGCAGATACTGAGGGATGAGGGTAGAGACTTTCTCAGGTTTTTTGACGTCTGCATCCTCTGCACCATTCTGCAACTTGGGCCACCCTGGTGTCAACACCGAGAGATAGAGAAATGTGAGAGCCAGGACACTCTCCGTGACTTTGGTGGTCTTTCACGTCGGAGCTTCCTCCCCTGTAGTTTCGTACTCCATCCCGAGTTTCTCGTCGTAATCTGTAAGGGGGAGAGGCTGCAGGGGGCTTGCTCCCTCTTGGCAGCCCGAGGATTGGCAAAATGGTCTTCATACTCAAAGGACTGTTTCAGTTCTCAAAGAATTTACTTAAGTTGACCCACTTATTCTGTAGTGGTACTTCTCAAATTTCCTCCCAGAAGATAAAGGTATTTTCAGATTCGGAGTAAATGGATTCAGAAATTTTAATAAATGTTTTTGATTTTTAGTGCTTCATGTCAAAAGTCAAGTGAGAAGCCACTTAGATCAGCTGAGAAGAAAGAATACAATGAGAAGAATGGCTGTGTGAAGTATGGATTTTTTTTCTTGGCCTCAATTTTTTATTGAAGTAATTGTAGAAAAATTATAAGCAGGAAGAATCTGTATGTGATTTTATTATTAATTTCAAACCTGCATTCCCAGTGACTCAGTGGGTAAAGAATCCACCTGCAGTGCAGGAGACACAAGAAACACAGGTTCCATCCCTGGTTTGGGAAGATCCCCTGGAGGAGGGCATGGCAACCCACTCCAGTATTCTTGCCTGGAAAATCCCATGGACAAAGGAGCCTGGTGGGGTACAGTCCTTAGGGTCACAAAGAGTCGGACTCGACTGAAGCAACTGAGCACAACACCGCACATACACAGTGTCTTCAGGCTTTGAGGTTAGTTTTTTCTTTTTCATTTACTAGGGCAGATTTTTCTGTTTAAAGTTTTGTTCTAGTATAAATAGTCATTCTCTGCCTCCCCTTCCTGAATCTCTTGTCAAGTGAACAATTTTATGAAACAAATTAAGTATAGTTGATCTTGTGGGGCTGTTGATTTTATATGGGTTGGCACTTGCTTTCTTCCTAGTTTTCAGATATTAAATGGATCTGCCACCTGCTGGAGAAAGTAGGTATTTATAGTGTGGAACTTGGGACGTTTCTTTTTTTTTCCTGTCCTGCCAGATTCACAAAGTACTCACTTGGTAGTTGTTAACAGTAGAGTAATCTCTTCATTTTAATGAAGAGATTTGTTTAATCCACAAAGTATTTTTGTACAAATTTTTATGATTTCTTACCTTACCAGCCTAAAAACACTCTCACATTCCATGTAACTGTGGCTGCTCTGAAGCCATCAGAGTGACAAAGCATCTAAGTTCAGAAGTGGGTAGATGGTATAGTAGCTGCTAACTGGGATGATGGGGGAGAGGGTCGTTGACCATATGGCCATCTTGGTATCCTGACTCCCTGGAGGCTGCTCTGTGGCCCTGTGACATCCCAGCGGGAGGGCCTCATGGTGTCCATGGCCAAGGGCTCTGAACATTGCCCCATGGAGCCCACGGGTCTTGGGATGGTTGTTAATGCACCAGAGTTGACATCCTCCTACCCAGGCATCCCTCCACCTAATACCTGGAAGTAGTGATGCTCCAACAGGTTATTTTCCTTGAACCAAAGACTTTGCGTTATCCATGTAGCTCATTTCTTTCAGCCTCATGCCCTTTACTTAGAACCCTCTGATGAAATGACATCAGTTATTCTATCAGTCTGTTGTGGGTCCCAAAGAACCTTGAAGTGATTGAAGATTAAACAGCAGAAAAGGAAGGAGGCAATGGGTTTCTTAGAAGAAACACGAGGGAGTGATCATGCAGTCTTTTCTCCTTGTCCAGAGCAAGTGGTCCTGGGATTGGCACTGCTGTACAGAGCAGGGCCCAGTGGGGGAGGGAGAAGGGGCAACATGAGACTGGCAGACCCTTGTGTAGCAATGGACAGGGTAAAACAGAGCAAGTGGTAATGCCATGGCCATGCCTATAGTTCATCTTACCTCTGTCAAGGAAGATATAGAGTGACAGCTGAACTGAAGAGCACTTCTTTTTCCTTCAAATGATCCCTTTGATTATTTTATAGATTACTGCAGTTTTTAAATCCTGATCCTTTAAGAGCTGATGGAATCTCTGATCTGCAGCAGGTATTGAAACTCCCCCTCCAGCCCCTGCCGCCAAAAGAAAGAAAGCTGTTTACTCTTTAAATCCCACCCCTCCTTTCCTCTAAATTTTAGATATAAAGAAAAATTCCTTGCATGGAGAACTTTACCTGAAGATGTCCTTTTAGAAATTACCTAATAAATTGCTGCTTAAGAGACACGGCTCTTTTTCTGTTTGGGTAATAGATAATCTTCCTTTCGTTTTGGTCATTTTGATGGGTTTTGATAAGCATATAAACCTAGGGTTTTACACTGAAACCAAACTCTCAATGTCCTCTTCATCTCTGTAAAGTTCTTGGTATCCTGTGCCAACACCATCAGGCAGAACCATCTAACAGCTGTGTTCTTAGTTGCAGAAGCTGAAGTCGGGGTCCCAGCAGACCATGGCAGTTTTGCGAAACAGGGTTGAGCCCTGCTTGTCCATCGAGACAGCACCACTCTCAACAGACCTGAAAAAGGTGATGGGATTCATAAAGGAACTCTGACCTGTTGTAATGTAGAGAGATTTTTAATAAACAGTTCTGAGGTTGCATTTCCATAATTTCTTTGCTTTTGAAATTCCCTTTTAAGATTTTGTTATTAATTTCTCATTTAGTCTTAAAGTCCAGGTTAACTTCTTATAAGTGAACAGTTCTTTTCGTGGAGAAAGCTAAGTGCTTTAGTGAAATAAGTTCTCAATTGTGCCTCTGAAAAGGGGCTCAGAAGGAGCACAAGCAGTCGGGGCAGTTAGAATGTTCTCCGAATCCTCTTCAGAATTGCGTTCTAGAACTGTGGCTTCACTTAGATCATCAGTTTAGAGCATCAGTTTAAATCATGTTTATCTGCTTCCCTCTTGATATTAAAAAAAAAGTAAAAAAAAAAAAACCCACAAGGATGAATGAGAGTGAAGTCTCTATTGGACAGGAGATTTCTTACAGGCTTTTGGAAGATGGAAAAGCAGCAGCAGAGGGTGGCTGACCACTGAGGACGGGGTGACGTGGGGAGGGCACCGGCCTGCCCGCCTTGTTTCCTGAACATCCACAGCCAGGTTCTCAGGAAGGACATTGGAGGCTCTGTTTGAAGAAACTGAATGACCCTCGAGAATAACCTTCAGGCAACGCTGTTGTTCAACCCTCCCAGTAAAAATGCCTGCTTGCTGCTCGTCTCCCTTCAGTGATGGGACTCTGACGTGGTGCTGAGCTCCAGCCTGCCTACAGGTGTAGCCCAGCATTTAGTGTCCTTGATGTGAGCAGTCTCCAGGGATCCTTGGACATTTTGAGGAAAGCCTTCCCCTAAGGAAAAAGGAAAACAAACTCTGAAAGAAACACGATGTAGGGAGTGAAAGAAAACATGAGAAAATAGATATCCTCAGAGATAAGAGAAGATATTGCTTGGCTTTAACGATAATAAGGTGCTATAAAAAAGAGAAACAGATTAAAAAGGGGTCTTAGGAATTAAAAATGCTATAGAAAGAAAAAACAGATATGAGAGGCAAAATAGAAGTTAATGTCAGAAAGTAGAATAGAAAGATGGAAATGAGGGGAAAAAAGAATTTGAGAATCAATTTGAGGTCTCATATCTGAAAAGGATTTCTAGAAAGAATGATGAAAGAGGGCAGAAAATCCTGAGCATAGCACGTGGACACTCCCTGGACTTAATGGATATGGCTTTCTGAATTAAGAGAGTTTGCTGACCACAGACCCAGAACAACTGAGGAGCAAGAACATAGACACATTGCTACGAAGCATCTGAATTGAAAGGGATTCAGAGATGCTGAAAGCTTCCAGGGAGAAGAAACCCATCCCTGGAAGGGTCAGAAATCAGAAGAGCTTCAGACTTGTCCACGGGTCACCAGAGGAACCCTGACTCCAAAACACTGGTGAAAAGTGACTTCCAACATGGAAGTCTCTGGCCAAACCACTAGTGAAGAGTGAGGATGAAATGAAAGCATTTTCACATGTGCAAAGTCTGAAATTTCCTTCTTCTGTACCCTTTGTTGAGAAGCTGCCAAAATCTGTTCTCCACCAAACCAAGAAATTCACCTGAAAAAGTTACAGAGAAGAGGTGACATTGCAGGAAAATCCCAGTCCCAGGTACAGCTGGGGCTCAGGGCTGGGGGATGAGGTCTTCAGAGAACCAACGGCTGGCTGGTGCTTTCAGCCTTGTGGAGGAGCTCATCCATGTGGCTGGAGAGCTCTGTGGAACATTTGGGGGGGGGGGGTTCCAGTGACAGTTACATACAAAAATAAGCAAACAAAAGGCATGTTTGTTTTGGAGGGATTAAAAAAAAAAATTTGCTAGTGGAGCTGATGCACTAGCAATTTATCAGAAGGAGGATGAGAAACCACACCCTTGCTCAGGTAAGCATTAAACACCTGGTCCTTCAACACACTGCCTATTGGATCCTTTCAGTTTGAAGCCCAGAAAAGCAAAGAGTCTCTTTGAGCAGGAGTTCACTGCTGGAAAATGTCTGGGGGGACTTACTGAGTTAGGTGTTGGAAAATCCCAGATTGAGCAGTGAGTACTTGTTGGGGTAAGGTAAGCAATGAGAAGGGTCTGTTAGCTTTCTGTACTTTATTGTCTTGGTTGTCATTGATGTTTTGTAGGCTCTTCAAAGAAATAAGTTTCCAGGCCCCAGCCACACTGAATCTTACTCTTGGCCTCCCATAGCACGTGGCTGCGACGTGGTGGTCGTTTCTCACTGTGGAAACGACCCTTTGTTGTACCTTCCACCAGTGCTTACAATTCTGCAAACAGGAGGCTGCTACAAGTCTTTGCCAAGTAGAAACGGAGTAAGTTGGAGACAGTTTTGTTTTTCAACAAAATGGGTTAAAAGTTTATTTCAGACTTGACGCCTGACTTTTGGTTAAGTTTAGGTTACATTAAAACTGAGGACAGAGACTGTCCTGTGAGAAACTCTTCTCAACACCGACCACTGATTCTTACCGAGAATCCCTAGTTGTTGGCAGTTGTCATGAGTCAGGAGAGTCCTGGTTTTTTGGGATGAATATACAGTTTATAGAATTATTTCACTGACTGAATCTAATTGTCACAGCAACCCCTTGAGATGGTCAGACTGTGTGCTGTCTTCACTATTTTATAGGTTAGAAAATTAAGCTCATAAAAAGCCCTTACCTGCTGACAAGTGTGACAAGACGTGGAATTTGAATTTAAATTATCTTTTAAAATTTTTTATTTATTTGGCTGCATGAGGTCTTAGTTGTGGCACGTGGGATCTTTCGTTGTGGCGCACAGACTCTCTAGTTGCAGCGCATGGACTCTTTAATTGTGGGGTGTGGGCTTCAGAGCACGAGGCCTCAGTAGTTCATTGTGCAGGCTGAGTTACTCCACAGCATGTGGGATCTTAATTCCCTGGCCAGGGATCAAACCCACATCCCCTGCATTGAAAGGCAGATTCTTAACCACTGGACCACAAGGAAGTCCCATGAATTTAGATTTTCTGTCATCTTGTCTCTATTGACTGTTTTGGAATCCTACTTTATTTTTCCCAAGTATAAGAATTGGAAAACAGCTGAGAAGCCAGATGGAAAGGGGAGAGGTGGATGTGAGGGTCCAGTGGTGGTGGCGTAATACCATCTGCTTTGTTGGGGTCTGGCTGTCAGGGAACTGATGAGTGTGATCTGTCTCAGCTCTTCTCCCTAGAGATACACTACGGGTGGTTCCATCACTCATTATAAGGTGAAAAATAGCAGTACAGATTTCATCTTAGAAAAGATACTGGTTTATGTAATTATGCCTTGTGGTTTTATGAGTTTTCTTTAGAAATCTGCATTGTCTGTGTTATGATGTATTGACTTAATAATATTAAGTGGATGCATTTATGTCAGTCAGGTAGCAGCTGACCCCACTGATGAGAGGCAGCTTGTGTTGAGATTGGCCCCTGGCTGGGCCAGGAAGGAGTGTCCGGGTCTGCCGCTTGTGGCCCTGCTGTTTTGTCCGTGTCTCCAGGGTCAGCCTGCATTTAGGCGTGAGCCCCGGAAGCTGGTGCTTGCCTGTGTGTTCAGGAAGATGTCGGCAGACAGTGTCCCTTCTAGAGGGAGCCCTGAGCGATAGAGGAGGGCAGGATCCAGGCGGTGCAGCGGGAATCTTGCTCTCCTAAGGAGGAGATGGTAACCTTTTCCACAGCCCTTTTCAGGAGGCCGTTAGTTCACCCTTGTGGTTAGAAACAGGCAGTCTGGAGCCAGGCCGCCTGGCATGAAATCCTGTTGCTACTGTATGTTTAGCTGCGCAGCCTTGGGCAGCTGCTTCCACCTCTCTGTGCCCTCGGCCGCTCCTCTGAAATGAGATAGGACCTCACCCGCCTGTAAGGGAACTTTCCAGATGAAACGATTTTTACTTGTGCATACGTGATTTTTTAGTTCAGACCCTATCAGAAGCTGAGTCACTGTGTCTGAATCCATTCTAATGAGGTTGTGTTTTGGCTTTCTGACCCACATGACAGTGATGATGGCAAAAACAGTAGTGCTTACGGCACACAGGGAGGCGTTCTGCATGCTTTTACATACACTCTCTGTGGTTTCTAACCTTTGTACAAAATTATATTGAATTTGTTTGTCTTTGCAGCCTCTGGCAGTCATCGTGTGCCCTGGGTGGAAAAAGGCCCAATTTATTTTTGAATTATTGGGAGACTATAGAGCGTCCTCCAGGCCTCTTCATCCTGTGTTGTTAACAATCGGACTCCACAAAGATGAAGCCAAAAATATGAAGTTTCCAAGGGGGTGTAAGCAGCCTTTCCAGGCTATTTGGTTTCCCTAGAGAACACAGTGCAGCCCGGATCAGGCAGACCTGGGAGCCACCCGGACACGGGCTTGTGTGTTGGCCAACCTCACTTATCAATTATGTATCTGTGTAGGTAGTCAAGGTTTACTCTTGACTTAACATCTGTTTTACTAAAAAAGCTCTGTCTTTTCATTCATTTATCAATTATGCAGTAAACACCTACTGTTTATTTAGTGTTGACTAAAACCCCACCCTGCCTTTCAGGAACTCAAAACCTGGTGGAAACCCAGGTATTTAATCAGAAAATACAGGCCTCTTGTGTACCCACCTGAGTAAGAAAAACAGGTTTTTATTTTATTAAAAGGCATTTCTAGAAAGTGTGTGAAATTTTAGCAAAGGAAATGTTAGAAACACTTGTGGAAAATCTAAAGTGTTAACTCTGTTTTCTTTTAAAATGTAGGCGATGTGATTGTTACAACACCACATAGTCTCCTGAGACTTCTCCAGTATCAGAGCTTATTATTTCTTAGGCTCTGTCATCTAGTTTTGGATGAGGTGGAAGTATTACTCTCTGAAGCTAATGAGCAGGTAAGTGTGTCTTGTTCATTTAGATGTCATTACTACTTAGAAATATTTACATATATGTGTATATATATATATAGAGAGAGAGAAAATTGAAAGTCTTTTAGAAATCAGGAAGTGTGTTTAGTTGGGAAGAAGCTGGTTAATCTAAAAAAATTTTCCCTTTAATTGCTGTAATTAAGATGAGAGAATGTTTATCTGAATTTTCTACCCAATGTTAAAGTGCTTTGAAAAGCAAAAATTCTTTCCTAGGGAGATTTTTCTAAAATACTTAATATTTTTCTGGTTATAAAATCAATGATTTTGTTTTAGAAAATTTGGGAAGTAGAGAAGAATACTTGAAAACCCCCCACATGTGTAGTCTTAATGCTCAGAGGTAATTAGTTGTTCTAATTTAGAGTATTTCTTTCCTTTTTGTAATTCTGGTGTCTGTTGACATATAATTAATATTATCAGGACCTATTTTGTGTGTTAGTTTGTAACTTGCAGTCCAGTAAAAAGCATTGTGAGTGTTACTACTCACTATACCCTAGCATGATTGTTACTGGCCACTTAATATTGAATCCTATGGGCACAACATAATTTATTTTATAATTGCCTTATATTTGGATATTTAGGATCATTTGTGTGTGTGTGTGCGTATGTATGGCTGAAGAAACACATCTTTTTTGCACACATTTTTCTTAGGAAGGGGATTCCTTCCTAGGAAGGGGATTAATGGATCAGAGGCTGTGAATTCTTAGAAGGCATTTGTTGGAAGCAGTGTCATGTGACAGCCTGGAGCATTCCTGTGGGGGCAGTGATGGCCCCAGGGTTAAGTCCAGGCTTTGTTACTTACTGACTGTGGGTCTGGGCAGGGTTCCTGAACTCCTCTAAAGTCTCAGTTCTTATTTGTTAATATCTGGACCGCTGCCTTGTACACTGGCCCTTCTGAAAGTGTAGATGAATTTGCACTCCATCAGGCAATGGACCAGAGGCCATACACGCTGGACCCCAGCAGTAGGAGGCCCTGATCCAGCTTCCTTTTGCAGGTTGATTGTTACACGTGGAGTCTGATTTACTTAATCTCTGTGTCCTTGACAGTTTGCTAAATTGAGCATTGATTTATACTGGCCATTTGTACCCATTCTTCTATGAGCTGCTGTTTCATTTCCTTTGTTTTCTTTCAGTGGGATTACCTTTTTCTACCTAGTTTGTACAATAGAAGTTTTTATATAAGGCGATTAATCCTTTGTTACCTTTGTTACCCCTGATTCTGGGAAAGATTGAGGGCAAGAGGAGAAGGGGGCGACAGAGGGATGAGATGGTTGGTTAGTATTACTGACTCAATGGACATGAGTCTGCGTAGACTCTGGGAGATAGTGAAGGACAGGGAAGCTTGGCATGCTGCAGTCTGTGGGATCATGAAGAGTTGGACACAACTTAGTGACGACAACAGCAAATTAATCCTTTGTTACCTGTATTATCCATATATACTCAGATGATGTTTGTTTTAATTTTGTGTATATTTAACATTTTTCCTTTTTAGTGGTTTTTTTTTTTGCTTTTGCTTTAATGTTTAAAGACGTTCCCCATTCTGAGAACAGAAAATATATACTCTTTACCTTTTATGTTCTGTCAAACTAATTCTTAGTTTCTTTTGAAATAAAAATGAAATTAATTATACTAATTTTTTAGATGTTTGCTATATTAGATAACTTTAAAAAAAACACTGAAGTTGAAGAACGGGAATCTGCCCCACATCAGATTGTTGCAGTTGGAGTTCATTGGAACAGACATATAGAGCATTTAATCAAAGAGTTCATGAACGACCCCTACATTGTGATCACAGCCATGGAAGAGGCTGCCCTCTACGGCTGCGTCCAACAGGTAGTGAGTTGTGGGTGTACATGATGGGGGCTGGTGAGCACAGGCCAGTAACCTTATTCACTTATATTTAGAGATTACTGCACTGATTTCATATACAAACCTGGAATTATGTATTTGAGTTTCTATTGCTTTTTATACCTTCTTCTCTATTAAAATTATGATTTTCCCATAAAAAGGAAAGCTGGAGCACCGTGAACATTTTAAGAAGTCTCACTGTTTTTGCATTTCTTTACCAGGTAGTGCATCTTTGCTTGGAATGTGAAAAAACTTCTACTTTACTCCAGACTCTTGATTTCATCCCAAGTCAGGCAGAGAAGACCTTGATCTTCACCTGTTCTGTAGCTGAAACAGAAATAGTGTGTAAGGTGAGCCCTTCCACACATAAAATGTTTTTATTGCTTATATACACTGTGGTTGAATCTTGAGTCATCAGAGAATTATTGGAATAGTTAAATATTTGACAAGAAAATAAAATTTTATAAATTCAACATCAGAACAGGCTCTGCCATAAAGCAAAACTGCTGGCAGTGAGAAAGGACCAGGAGGCCTGACACTGAAAGCATCAGGGCCAAGGGGAACCTGGCTGAGTGAAAAGGATCCGTTCATGACGAAGGGGCAGCCTCTTCTGTTCCCTCGGTTTAAGAAAATAGAGATGCTAACAGTAAAATATATCATCATTTTAGCCAGAAAAGCCAAATAAATTGGCTGAAGATTTAATCTAATTGTGTATTAATACTACAATGTAGAAACGAGGCCACATACAAAAGAAGCAGTAGTGCATCCACATTTCAGCAAAAATGAACTAGGTGGTGTAGTGAAAAAACCCTTCTTAAATTAACAATAGTACCATAAATTTCATACGTTCATATACATACCTCTACAGAGGTAAGTATACATACACTTAAGTATATATATACACACACACACACACATATGTATGCACACATTATTTTAAAAGGAAGAAAAATAGTTTTAGCAAAATAATATTTGTCTCACTGGAGCAAGTTTTTAGATATAAACAATAGAATTTTGAAAGTATATTTATTTAAATTTACAACCGTCTCATTTGTAGAATTAGTGGATCAGTGAGGTAACACCCTCACAGAGAATTTTAAATGTTTATATTGATATAGATAATTATTGATGAAAAATTGTCTCTTAAATTTATATTCCTGAGTGTGAACTGGCCCCTTTGGTTTCGTCTTCAGGTGGTAGAAAGCAGTTCCATATTTTGCTTGAAAATGCATAAAGAAATTATTTTTAATTTAAAAAGTGTTTTAGAACAGTGGGAGAAGAAGTTAAGTTCTGGTTCTCACATTGTATTAGGTAAGTATTTTAATTTCTACTTTTATTTAGAGAAGGCTGAACTAATAGGAATTATTCTTTGATTCATTTATTTACTTCTTCTCCAAATTTCTCATTCTCAGATTTATTGAGAATGTGTTAGTAATGTTAATTTCAAAGTGAAAATTAACTTCAGTTAATTGATATTGAGGCGAAATTCAGGTATCTGCAGGGCAGTGGTCAGCAACCCTTGGTCTAGATGTGCTCCCTGGAGTCGAGTTTAAGGATCACTGTCATATATATGTATGCCTGTGATGAAACTTGTCATAAACAAATGCTAAGTTTGGTATTGGAAATACAAAAGTCAATTTGTATTAAATAAATGAAAACATTACATGGGCAGCTTAGATTTGTAATAGAGGCATTTTTCAAGTTAAAAGGGAGACTGTTTTTCTCTGAAATTTAATTACCAAGTTTTCAAATTTTGGGAAAAGAAATGGGAAAGGAGTTTCCTTGTATCTCAACAGTAAAATGAAATAAATATTTTGAAGTTTGGTTCCTGGAATTTTCTCTGTGAAATGCGTGTGGTAAAATTGCAGCCTCTCTTGAAGCTGTCACTTCTTTTTCTCCAGCCTTAACAGATGATTGCGTCCCACTCTTGGCCATCACCGATGCCACGTGTGTTATTCACTTCAGCTTTCCTTCCTCACCCAAAATTTTCGGTGGACGCCTATATTGCATGTCCGATCATTTTCAGAGTTTAACTGAACAGGTTTGACTCATATGCATTATTTAATATTTCACTGGCATTTTCCACGTAATGACAAACTTAGAGTCTGTAAAGTGTTATTGTTTAGATTGGTATGAGTGATTCACTTCCTTTATTCGCCTCCAATGTTACGGGTTCTGCCGAACAGGGAGATAAAAAGACCAAATCTGTCTTGCTGCTGTCGGAGAGAAATGCCTGCCACGCAGTTGGGGTCCTACGCTACTTGGAGCGAGCAGATGCCAAGATCCCTTCAGAGCTGTACAAGTTTACCGAGGGGGTTCTGGAAGCCAAAGAAGATAGAAAAGCCAGAAGGCCTCTTTGTCCGTATCTTAAGGCTTTTGGTTTTTGCAAGTAAGCCAGTCATCTTTTGTTTTGAAATACAATATGCAGTAAGCTGCACAGATGGTAAATTTATAGCTTGAGGGTGGTTATATAGGTAATGCAACCCATGTGAACCACACCCAGCCCTGAGGGACCTCTTAAAGATCCTCTTCATCTCCTTCCCAGTTTGTTCCTCCTCCAGAAGTAACCACCCGAGTTTTATCTACCAACACTGACTAATTTGCTGAGTTTTGAATTTTATATAAATGGAATGTGGAATGTTCAACCAACTATCTGTGGCATTTGTCTGTGTATTGGTATTTTATTTATTTATTTTGTGGCTCAGAATTCCATTGTATGATTATATCTACATTCATTCTCCTCTGGATGGGCCTGCGAGTTGTTTTTATGTATAAAGCTGCTGCGAACACTCTTGTACATGTCTTTTTGTGGAAATGTGCACCCATTTCTCTTGGGTATATACTTTGGAATGGGATTGCTGGGTCATGAGGCAGACGTGTGTAACTTTGCCAAAGTGGTTGGTCATTTTATCATCCCATCAGTTGTTAAGAGAGAGTTTGAACTGCTCTGTATCTTCACCAACTCTTAGTATTCATGGGGGCATGGGATCGATGACTGTGATTTTCATATGTATTGCTCTAAGAATTCATGATGTTGAATGTCTTTCCACATGATTGTGGGACATGTGACCGTCCCTTTTTGTGAAGTGCCTGTTCAGGTCTTTCTCCCATTTTTAAAATGGGAGAGAGATGTTTATGGGTTTATAGGAGTAGTTTGTTTATTCTAGATATAATTGCTTTGTTAGAGATACGCAGATATGCATTGAGAATCTTCTCCCAGTCTGTGGCTTGCCTTTTCACTCTCTTTCAATTAACTAATAAATTTTGGCTGCACTGGGTCTTCGTTGCTGTGCTCGGGCTTTCTCTAGCTGCAGCGAGCAGGGGTTGTTCACTAGTTGCGGTGCGCAGGCTTCTCGTTGGTGGCCTCGCTTGTTGCAGAGCACGGGTTCTGAGGCACTCGGGCTCGGTAGTGTGGCTGCAGGCTCTAGAGCGCAGGCCCGGTGCTTGTGACACATGGCCTTTGTTGCCTCCTGGCATGCGGAAGCTTCCCAGACCAGGGATTGAACCTGTGTACTCTGCATTGTCAGGTGGATTCTTAACCACTGAACCGCCAGGGAAGTCCTCACTCTTTCAAGAGTCTCAGTGAACAGATACTTTTAATTTTGATGAAGCATTTTAGAGTAACTATTTTTTGTGTGTTCTTAGATAAGAAATACATGCCTATCTCTAGGTTATGACATTCTTCTCTATTTTCTTCCAGAAGCGTTATAGAGTTAGCTTTCACATCTAGATATGTAATCTATATTGAATAAATTTTTGTGTATAGTGTTTGACATGGACAAGGTTTACTTTTTTCTGTATGGATAATCCCTTGCTCCAGCTTTCTTTACTTAAAACATGGCCATGTTCTCACTGAGTTGGTGCCTTTGATGTAAACAGACAACAGTATATGTGATCCATTTGTGGTTGCTCTCTGTTACACTGGTCTACTCGCCTGTTCTTAAACCAGTACTGCACCTTCTTAAGGTAGCTTGTACTATAGCGGGTCTTGGAAAACGGTATGTAAGTCCTCCAACATGGCTCTTCTTAATGGTTATTTTTGGCATTTTAATTCTAATGAATCTCCATATTCATTTTAGTATAGGCTTGTCACTTTCTTCAAAAACATTGCTGGAGTTTTGACAACTGCATTGATTCTGTGGATCAGTTTGGAGAGCACAGGTATATCTTAGCACTCAGGAACTCTCTTAGGGATCCAGACACGATACCAGTAGCTGATCAGTGGATCTCTGGGACTAGGTAGTAGATTCTGATAGATATCTACTGGATGGAATTTAAAGATAACTGTTGAAATTAACTTATTTTTTTGATTGTGGTACACTATACCCATTATTAACAACAATCTCCATAATGCTTTTAAATAAAATACTAACTTTTAAAACTGAAACTTTAACTATTTCTCAGTTTGGGTTAAGTGGCTCCTGGTTTAGAGGTTCATTGGCCTCTGTTGTAGGTTCAGTTCAGTCACTCAGTCGTGTCTGACTCTTTGCGACACCATGAATCGCAGCCCGCCAGGCCCCCATGTCCATCACCAGTTCCCAGAGTTTACCCAAACCCATACCCATCGAGTCGGTGATGCCATCCAGCCATCTCATCCTCCGTTGTCCCTTTCTCCTCCTGCCCCCAATCCCTCCCAGCATCAGGGTCTTTTCCAGTGAGTCAACTCTATGCATGAGGTGGCCAAAGTATTGGAGTTTCAGTTTCAGCATCCGTCCTTCCAATGAACACCCAGGACTGATCTCCTTTAGGATGGACTGGTTGGATCTCCTTGCAGTCCAAGGGACTCTCAAGAGTCTTCTCCAACACCACAGTTCAAAAGCATCAATT